ATTCTTGACATAGCTCTGTCCAAAAACTTAGCTCTCAATTTGTCAATCACAAATTCTGACTCACTCAGCTCTGACCACAACCCAATCAAAATCCTCTTAAAAGAAAACTTCATACAAAACCCGCTCCAACCACTAACTTACATAGACTGGGACGCCCTCAGATTTTTCCTATAGGAAACAAATATCCCAGACGCACCAATAAACTCAACCCAAGAACTCAACTTACTAAACAATTCCATCACCGAAAAAATCACCGAGGCCACTCAAAAAGCAACCATCTTCAAACCAAACTCGAACAAAAACCCTTTCGGCCTTCCTCTCGAAATCAGAGGCAAAATCAAATTGCAAAATCGCCTTAAGCGATTAGCAAAAAGAAACTCTGATAACTCTTTCAACCGCCAGGCCAATCAACTCACAAACCAAATTAGAAATCAAATTTTGGCACTCAACAACCTAAACTGGCAAAACTATCTGGAAAACTTGGAGCCTGGTGATAATTCGGTATGGAAGCTCTCCAAGAAAATCCAAAGAAAATCCTTTACAAACTATCCCCCCATTCACGGACCCCCACCATTCACGATTCGCTGTAAAATCAGTTCAGAGTCGACTAGGAAATGATCCCGACTTCGGAGAAGAAGTCGAGAACCATTACCAAGACGTAACTACCAAGACCATCACCAAAACAGACGAAACTATCCCCCCAGTTACAATCGACGAACTAAAATCCCAAATACATCTTCTAAGGACCAAAACCGCTCCAGGCATCGACAAAATCTCAAACAGGGTGATCAAAATGCTCCCAGAAAACATCCTACAAAACCTCCTAACCCTGATAAATAGTGCCTTTGCACTCCGCGAGTTTCCTAGCAGCTGGAAAACAGCTGCTATAGCTCTCATCCCAAAGCCAGGAAAAAACAAAACTTTCCCCCAAAACTGGCGCTCAATTAGCCTTCTGCCCACCTTCTCGAAACTTACGGAGAATTTCTTCAAAGAAAGACTCTTGGATAAAATCTCCCACAACAGCGGAATCCCCCACGAACCATTCGGTTTCAAAATCTCGACTCCGAATTGCAAGTGGCCAGACTAGTGGAAGACGCCGCGCTTGGACACCAGGAAAAATCCTCCACGGGGATTATTCTCCTGGACATAGCAAAAGCGTTCGACACTGTCTGGCACTAAGGAATAATCTGGAAATTGGCCAGCTTCTACAATCTGCCAACTAGCTTTGTGCAGTTTGTGGCAAGCTTTCTGAAAGACAGAAAATTCCGGGTCCGTTTAAACAATCACCTTTCCACGTTAAGAACTGTGGAAGCGGGAGTTCCGCAAGGATCCCCCCTTT